ATGCAGCTTCGAGCACCAGCCAAGCCGGTGTTGGTATTGCCCTGAGTCCCCGGGCTGAAACTGCTCTGGTTGATTGGATTCCAATCAGTAGCCGGATGTGTGCGGTCCGATTGGCTGGCTCGTTCAAAACTTCGAAGTCGCGTGGGACTAACAGGTGTCTATTCGTTATCGCTGCCTATGCACCGACAAACTGTAGCGATGACTCGGTAAAAGACGACTTCTATCGTCAACCGAACGAGCTCCTTTGCCACAGAAGAAGCTCGGACACTGTAGTGCTGGCCGGGGATCTGAAAGCTCAAGTTGGAAAATTATCCACTGATGAGCTGCATTTGGGCGGCCAACATGGTGTAGGCTCCCGTAATGATAACGGTGAGCGGTTACTTCATTTATGTGAGGATGCTCGCTTATTTCTTGCGAGCACTAATTTCCGACACAGCACCCGCCAGAGGGTGACTTGGCGCCCACCAGCCTCGAACCAGCTATGGACGCAAATCGATCACATTGCGATAAGTTACCGCTGGAGAGGCTGCATCCAGAACTGTCGCTCGATTTGGAGCACAGGTGTGGACACCGATCATGCACTTGTATGTGCTGACCTGCAGATGCGCTTTGGCGGACGCCCAAGACGACGTTGTAAGCGCATTGACACCAGCCAACTGTTCTGAATGCCTACCAAAGTACGCTGCCATGCGAATTGGGTAAACGCTTATTGGATGCAATTGAAGGTCACTGGTCTCATATTCACCAGACCTTAATTGCAGCAGGAAAATCCTCATGTGGTATGTCAAATAGCCAACATGGGCATTGGGTCTCTTCACAGTCTCTAGAACTTATAGATGCTCGCCGGCATATTCCGGCTGGAAGCGAACACAATGAAACTCGCAAAGAGCTCCGGGCAAGACTTCAGGTTAGCCTGAAGAGAGACCGCGAATCCTGGTGGTCTCATCGTGCATCAGAGATGGAAATGGCCGCTGCCCTTGGTAACCATCGTAAGTTATTCTGTCTGATACGAGAAACGGGAAGCAGAAGACCTGGTGTTAGTGAAACAATTTGTGATGAGAGTGGACAGCCTATCCACAACTTGTCAAAATGCTTGGAGCGTTGGGCTGAGCACTTTGAAAGGCAATTTAATCGGCTGGAATTGTTAGATTACTCGCCCGCCATTGATCGCCCCGCTCCGTGGGCCGTCCCTTTGGATCCACCCTCTCGCTCAGAAGTGGAACGTGAGATCGGACTATTGAAGTTCAATAAGTCCGCGCGACCTGATGATCATCCTCCAGCCCTCTACAAATTCTGCGGACCTGCGCTTGTGGATAGTTTACACGAATTGCTAGTTAAACTGTGGGAGCAGTAAACTGTCCCAACCAACTGGAGCCGCTCCGTCATAGTCCCAATTTTCAAGGGAGGCTCACGATCGGAATGCGGAAGCAATAGAGGAATCAGTCTGATCTCCATCACCTCCAAATTGTTTGCCTCTGTCATTCTTCACAGACTGACTTGCACGCGTAAAAGCCAGATTCGTGAAAAGCAAGCCGGGTTTCGTCGAGGGCGTGGCTGCATTAACCACATCTTCACCTTGCGTCAGTTGTTGGAGCACCGTCACACATATTGGCGGCCCACCGTTGTCGTGTTCCTCGATATCAAAGGTGCATTCGATTCGGTGGATAGACTTGCACTTTGAAACTGACTACTCAGGAAAGGTGTATCTGAGAAATATGTAAATATTATCCGAGCATTATATGCGCGTAGCTCGGGCAGAGTGAGGGCTTACGGCAAGTTGTCGTCGCCCTTTAATATCTCCAGCGATGTGAGACAAGGATGCCCGCTGTCACCTTTCCTCTTCAACTTCGCTATTGACGAAGTCATGGAAATCGCGTTCTCAGGACACGACTTGGAAGGTGTGGATCTGCTCCCAGGAGAACGACTTCTTGACTTAGAGTATGCTGATGATATTGCCCTAATCTGTGACAGCTCCCGGACGTGCCAAGCGGCACTGGACAGATTAGCACTATCTGTCCGTCACTTCGGGCTTTGCTTCGCACCCTCGAAGTGCAAAGCGTTCCTCTAGGATTGGTCTGGACCGCCTCCTTCGCTGACCCTTGGTGGGGATCAGCTAGAAGTCGTTCAGAAATTCAACCACCTGGGAAGTTGTATCACCGCCCGTGGGATTAAGGATGAGATCACGAACCGTATAGCAAAAGCTAGGGGCGCTTTTGCTAACCTTCGCCACTTATGGCGGCGGCGCGACATCACTCTTGCCCTGAAGGGTAGAGTGTACGGTTTTAAAACCTGGCCCTTTAAGGCAACGGACCTGAAGAGGCTAGTTACGTTCGACCACCGGTGCCTTCGCAATTTAGCTCACATCTGGTGGGAACACCGCGTGAGCAACGAGTGTTTTCGACGCCTTGTTTACGGCACAGGAAAAGGAACTGAACCGCTCAGCACCGCTATTTCACGCACCAGGCTCCGATGGCTTGGCCACGTGTTACGCATGCCAGCCCATCGACTCCCGCGACGTGCGTTGTTTGCGCGCCGGGGTGTGAATGAAAGAAGAGGGGGGGTGGCCAAGGGATGACTTGGTCGAAAAGAATGAAGGCCCTCACCTCGAAGCTGGCCTCGGTTGGAGCGTCTCGGCTCCCTGGTTGGGGTCCGAAAGACGATGAACCCGTTTGGTTGGACAGACTTGTTGACATGGCAAGCAGCCGACCTCAGTGGCGTTCGTGCTGTGAGTTTCTTTATCCCACCCCTTTCCTATTAGCGTCCCCCTCCAACCACGATCTCATTAGTTAGCCTTATATAATTTTGCATAGTAATTTTTTTGATGCACAGTAGCCGGCTGGTAGCTTATCGGAACGATGCCCATTCGTTACCGGTAGTCCAGCCAGCTTGCACCAGTTGCTTTTTTTCTCCTTTTCTATGTATTGCTGCAAAGTAGCTGAGGTGTTCCCCACCTCTGGCTAACGTGTATGATGATGATGACCCCCACTAGTAGTTCTGCGCGTCTGAGGCGGATTGTGCACCACAATTGCTCGCATAAGTTATCCTCGCTTCGATAAGTTGATAAGTTTGCCAGATAGGGAAGATTTTTTGTACAACAGAACACCACCGTGAGTCTTTGATTTTCGGTCGCATCGGAAACAAGGATACCCTGACAATGCGACTTCGTGGGGTATGACGTCGGAGTTCAGCCAAGTCTCTGCAAGTCCTAAAACGTCCAACCGTTCCGAGACAGCGAAGCAGCACAGTTTAGTTACGTTTGTTCATTAGGCTGCACACGTTGGCGAATGCCACAAGGTCCTGGGAGGTGCCGTGGGGCGTGCCTGGAGGTTGAGCAACCGATTGATACGGGTTCGTACACCGATCTTGATCACCAGAAAATTTACAATTTGTAAGTCAAGCTCACCATCCGCACAACGTTTGAGCTCAATGACCGCAGTTTACAAACGATCCCTGACTTCGGGTTCCAAGTCTTGGCGGATGTGAACCTTTATGCCTTTCAGCCTTGACAGACAAGACAGTATGAGCTGCGGCATATTGTGATTAGCAAAGGTGATTCTCAGAGGTCGACATGACTGGTTAGTTTTCTGGTCAAGTCAGATTACTTGTTTAATCGTCACACTGTTTTCACCCGCATCCAACAGTTTATCGATGAGACCCTGGAAGAACTCAACATCGTGATCATAGTGTATCTGAAGGTTTTCATCTTTGGACTCTGGTAGGTGGAAGACCATGAGATTATGACGCCTCAGCGAAATCGGTAATGAACCTGTGGAAGCAGAACTAGTGGCGCTTATCGGTTTGGGCTGTTGTTTATCAGCAGAGTACGCCTGAACTCGATTACGTGGCCCTTTGCGCTTTTGAGTGGTCCATGGATCCTCGGTGTTCAGAGGTTCACAGACAGGCTCTGAGAAATTCACGGACCGACCATTGAAGTAACATTTCGTACGTTCCGAGTTTCAGTCTTCAGTCGGTGGGAACATTGAATCTGAGGTTCGGCCGGGGTCGAAGACGCTGGTGGTGGTGCAGATCGCGGAGTGACAAGAGAAGGCGAGGTGACAGAGGTACTTTCACGAGGGCGTTTGATCCCACGTGGTGAACGATTTATTTCTGCCTGGAGGAGAGGTTTTCCCGTAGTCGTTGGTGGTCGCTGTGAATTCTGAAGTCTTGCATCGCGACATTTATCACATGTAACTTGGAAAAACGGATGTCGGTAAATTTTCGAAATACGTTAACGGATAAGGCAATGCACGAAATATGGAACAAAACACCGCAACCGAAGCACCGAATTGCGTGAGCCTTATGTCCAATAACTTTCGAACACGAACCGCAAGTAGATTGAGACAGCATCACAAGATAGAGCAAATCCAAGGTGGCGGACACAGATGGGAGTTAGGCCAATTAATGACATTTTCGGAACCAGCCATAGAATACCCACCAAATTTGCACCGATTGTAAAATACACTAAAAGAATATTGGTGCGCAAATCACACAGAGATGAAAGTTATGACACAGTGATCCGAAGCAAAAGTAGTATCCAGCACACAGTGATTCAAAAATACGAGGCGTCCGTGGGTACAGCTGCAACTTTTTTTTAATTTCATTTGTGAACGTAACGAACTGACTGGATCACCGTTGCCAACTAATGGCTAGTCCTAGGAGACATAAGTGATGACCGCAAGCGTGGTGTTTGAAGACTTAAAGGCGCTTCTGATCTTCAGATGATAGGTGCCATGTGCTGGTACCGTAGAGCAGGTTGCTCCCGTATACAGGACATGTAGGACAGAAGACATCTTTCTGGCGCCATCGATGATCCAAATTCATGAAAGTGATTCAGGCCTTTGCAGTAGGCGAGGTAGTTTCAGCATCAATCTCATCTTTTAAAGTACTTATTCCTATCACAGTGGGTGGGATCGAACGGGACCTCAAACAATGTTAGATGGCTGAAGTTACAAATGCAGCATGACAATATACCAAGAAATGAACGAAGCACATAAACTTACCAGTTCGGCTGCAAATTGTGTGGTCGTCCAAACAGCTCAAGTTTCCTTGTGCCTGGCGAGAGTCGTTCAATGATACCGTAGATTTCGTCTGGTTTGTGACTCGTCTCACGTACCTCTGAGACGATCACGTCACAATCCAGACCTCGATTAACTCCCTGTAAAATCAAGTATAACACAAAATTTATGGATTGGTTAAGTTCAGGCGCTTGTCATCCGACTATCGAAGTACATAAGACCGGTTACGACGAATCGCGTCAGTAAGGTGACCAAAAGTCAAGAAGGTGAAGGGGTGAACAGGGATGTTTTGGTAAGCGATAAACACTGAGTGGACGATTTACCAATCTGTTTTAGCGCACACAGGAAACAACAATTATATATATACATATATATATATATATATATATATATATATATATGCCACAGAAGTCTGGAAAGGAAGTTTTTACTAGATGTCCTCAACTGGCTACGGCTTTTGGCGATATCCAGGATAGCCGAAAATTGCACATGCTTGAGAACACTCAAACTCCAAGTCAAAGGCGAGTCGTCGTTGTAAACATTAAAGCTAGCGCCTTGGGTTTCGAGTTCCAGCTACGTGCTGACCACGTTTCCGCTGCCTGCAACCGATATCAACACGCACCAAGCGGGCATGACGAGGTAACCAATGGATGAGAGTGTGAAGTACATACTTACGGCAGTGAAGATCGTTCGGCGTCTCAGAGTTTGGCACTGTCTAAATTGGAAGTTAGCCTACGAATATCGATTGTCACTGCAGACGATCTATGAACCCACTTTGCGCGAACTGGTACAGCCTCTTTATCAAAGGTTATAAATATGAATTAAACATTACGGAAAACGGCTGAGTTCTCGCAGGTGCAACAACGATGGAGGACAGGACAAACTACCCTGTGTATCTCATCTGTCAAAGACCAACTATTCTTTCAGGAGGCTGTGGATAGGAGCACGTTCCAGTAAGTCCAGCAGGAGGACCTCAGGCCTCTTTTTAACCTACACAGCATATTTTTAACTGAACGGAGGAAATCGAGGTTTCCCGCTCGGATACAGCTTGTTTTCACAACACCCACAAGCATCCAACGTGTTCACCAAAACGTCATACACAGCAAAGTCGGATAAGAAGGTAGAAGTTGGGTAACTCTGTCATACACCAATGGGGGAAGAATTGAGTTAGAGATCACATTGTGAAGTATGGGGATAACGGTTTAGGGTGTTAATGTACATCTTTGATACTTCCCTTTCGACTGATGTCAATTATGTAAGACGGCGCCGTTTCGCTGACTGCATGTTTGGAGGCTTTCGAGAATTTTTAGTTGTGTAAAAACTAGATCAAAATAGTCACAACCTTGGTAAAATTTAATCTGTCCTCGTATGTGCGGTTTGTGCAACAGCTTGAGTCCCCTTAAGAACAAGTTGTTGAGTATTTGGGACGTAGCAAATGTGAGCCCCGTCCTTCGAGGATTGCAGCATTCGGTTGGGGTACCATCCCGTATACCGGCACCGCGTCAGTTTTTCTCATACCTGGCTGGATAACTTCTGCGGATCAGATGTTTTGGAGGAAGGAAGTGGATTTTCAAGTAAAAATGTCTGAAGGAGTTCGTCCGGGCTTGGTGGCTTTGTACCGTTTGAGGGGAAGCTCATAAGAAACTCCAGTTCCAGATACCAGTGGAGTATCCACACACCAAGAGACGCTGTGGGTGCCTGACGAGGAGCTTCATTGCATTGAAGGCCAGTTGAACAGTGACTGGAAGTGACGACTGTAAACTGGCTCGCTGCCAATTTGACATAGAAATTTCACTGGCAATCTGTTTCTGGTTTCCAATGACTGGCATTACGAGCAAGCACTCACGAGATTTACCCGGGGGTTAATTGTTCCACCTTCAACTATGTTGCGTCCACTACGCCTCGTGATCTTCCTAGAAAAAGTCCGATGAGGAGGAAATCGGTAAATTTCAAGAAGTTGGAAAAATGGCGCAGAGATCCAGTGGATGATGGTATTGCCAACGATACCATCGACTGACGTAGTAGATTTGCGCAATTCGCTACGAATGTGTGCCCATTGTACCCCAATACGTGAGAATGGTAAGTTTCTAAGGTTTGTAGTTCCCATCCTGAAAGTTGACGAGAATGCTTGAAGTAACATGCGTTGTGGTACCAAGTCTTTTTAGGCAAAGTTGTTGGGTACTACCAAATTTTAGCACACACACAAGCATGTAATCCGAAGTAGCACAAGTATTCCGGATTGATTCGCTTTCCTTTACGCAGTCTTATAAGTGGTAACTGGTGGTTATGTATTCAATCTGGATCCATGGTTAGCTATGTGAGAAGTGCTGTGGTAACCCAGTAAATAGTGCTGCTTCTGTGCGCGCGCGCGCGATGCCGGTATGATCATTGGCTTACGTTAAATACAGTGTGAATGTGCCATCGGGAATAGTTGGTGGGGAAACTAGCCGTGACGTCATGTGGGAGGTCTTGCTAGCTGGTTTCAGTAGAGCAGCAAATATCGATGGTGAAAGCTTTCAGAGTGCGGAAACTGGCGCTGAAAAAGATTATCTGCGTAAGTGGGCCCCACACCAGCTCAAATTGGTAAGGTGTGCGTAACTGATAAGTCCGGAATGTTCAATGGTTACTGCGTCGACAGCAGTTCAGTTTAGCTAAGCAACTATGATCTGGGCACCGAAGTGCGGAGGATCCAGATGATACGACTCGCGCCACCAGAATAACCATAAGTAACAACGGCAAGCAAATGAGATTGAACGCAAATAGAAAGAAAATGAAATCAGGACAGAAGTGCACAAATCTAATCGGGTTCGGATGGTAATTAACAACTAGATAGAGGAAACCGAATGCAGGAACGCCACTCACTGCGCCATGTCTGATAGTCACCAGCCACTGGTGTGGACCGTCCCGACGCCCCATCCACGAAGAAAGCGCGCACACCAACCTGATCCAGTTTCTCGGTCAGTTTCTTCGTACCTTTATGTCATGTCATCAACTGGGTATCTGGCGATTTCGCCAAACGTGGTGCAGCAAGGGCCTATAATGCACACTGAAGAAGCCGGTCGACAGGCACATGGAGCGCATGATCTAGCCAACGTAAGCATCCGACGACATATGCGGTGAGAACGGTAAGATGGCGAAGTGCTTCAGTAAGCCTTCACTATGTGTGCTCTTATTTCCTCAGTGGATGGTCAGGTGGTCTAACCGATGGTTTATGCCGCCAGTACGTGTACAGAAAAATAGGGCGACAAGTTAGCAGCGCTATTAGCCGGACCGTCCAAGTAAGCTAAGACAGAGGTGTATGCTGACAAGTACCGAGCAATAAATTCTTCTTGTTGTCAGTAAGGAATTTGATAAGAACGCAATAGAGAATGTCACCTGCGGGTTGCCCTTCACACCGACAAGACAGTGTTCCTTCCCATGATTCAACCAATGCCCAGTGCGACCGGTCCTGATGAGACGTTGAAGTTGATTGGTTTTCACCCAGATAATCTCATCCACGCGTTTGTAACCCCACAATCGAAGACACTCCCGTCCAAGTTCCATAGCTCTAAAGGGTGATGAAGGAATTGGGCGAAACACTGGGACAAATGGCAAGCCGAGTCAACATGGCTCAACGAGAAACCCGTAAACAACCAAATAAATCCTCACGAGACATATCTGATTTGGCAGTGCAAATTTACTGCAATGGACACTCTTAGACGTGACCAGATCACGGATCGAGTTTTACGAAGTGAGATTAGAGCACCGCAGTTGATTTAAGAAGGTTGTCAATCACCTCTTCTCTTCCATCATAAGTACTGTCCGATCACTCGTGATGAGGTGCAAAAAGAGGGACAAGTTCAGCATGTAGCTATTAGATTAATCCCGTTTACGGGGTACGTCACACGAAGATAGGTGTCTGAGACTTGGACGTTCTCATAATGAAACTTGGTATCACATCTACATGGAATCAAGCTAAGACCGATGCGCACCAAGTAGTACACGCGGGCAACGGATCTGAAGAGGCTAGTAGCTCACCCTTTATGCTTCGAGCGTCGAGTGATGAGATATTAGAAGTTTGCCAGAGACACTAACCAATTTCCGAACTCAATAAATTCCTAGAAGCCCACTTCGCGGATTTCAAATTTAAAGAACTATCGCATATGAATTGGACACTGTACACCTGTAGTGTGTTAAAAGTGCAAGTGGCCGATATATCACCGTTCCTCATGACCACCGAAAGTCGACTGTTTCACAGGTGATTGTCGCATCTACGAAGAGGTTATTTCAACAGCGATAAGGTCCGCGTGGTTCTTGCTCAGAATAATTGATTCACTCATGAAGACAGTAGTTAAGCTGCCTGAGCGTGTCAAACACCGCACAGCTACCAGGATTATAGTATGATTATGATACTGTGTGCTGATCGCATCGCTCCTAAATAATGGGGGCACTGAGAAAGCGATGCTGTACTTAATCGTGCGTCATCTTTCAGCAGACCCAGTAGTGTTGTACTGGATTGTCCCGATAATTTACACCGTTTGTTGGTTCGGCGAATTGTCTAAGGTTGACTCAGGGTGGATAGCTGGCGACATGTGATAAAGGCTAAAGTCAATTCGCCCTGAAGCATTATCGGGCAGTCACATGCTGTTTTTGGAAGGAGTCCCTGAGTCAGTGGATTCAATACCTAGATAATCTTTTTGCACGAATTAGCCACGAAATCATAATCTTGGGTATCCCCGTTCGGTATTCCTTTTTCTATCAAAGTTCCCATGAACTTTTGAACGCACTTTTGTTTCCTCCTGCTTGTTATCTTTCCTATTATTTTCACGGGGACGTACGTCACGCCAACTGCACTCCGGTGGTCGGATCATAATCGGTGACTGATCTAATAAGTCGAGTAGAAGACACTTCGTGGTGTTGTCGCTTTTACCTGCATCCCTACAGAGTGTGGGCTAACCACGTACATCAAGAATGACATCTGGGAGTAATAAAACTATTGGACTGATAACAACTTCCTGCTCATTCGATGGTGTGGCAGTACTGCGCTTTAAGGTGGTAGGTCGTAAGAGGATAAGCTAAGTAGTCCGGATGCAAACGTTCAAATGAGTCATCAATCTATGATTGAAAGCAAGATGATGACAAAGTGACGCGACAGAACTCACCTACCGGTTACCCACAGGAAAATATATCCATCGTCTTGCAAACAAGGGATGTCCAAACGTCTCATCTCATCGTCGGACATGGTCCCATATGGTAGTTCCATGTGGATGTCCCATGGGGGGTCGGCCATGATGACAGCGAATTTCCCCAGCACGGACATATCGATCAACCGAATATCACAATTGATCCACTGGGAAGGGAAAGTTAACATTCGGTAAACGTGCGTTGATCAAAACATAAAACGGAACGCAAACATATGATAGTAGTAATAGATAGTAATCGCCAGTAACCACACTCGAAACTGCGCGGTCCGGACGGGTAGAAAGCTTCGTATGATTGGGGAGCTGCCTTTCCGCCAGTGGCACTACCGGGATTGGGGCCAACATTCGCATCGCCGAGATTAGGACAGACTTCGTCAATCTGTGATATACATGGCGTCGTCGAGATGTATTTATTTGCCGAAGGAAGTGGTTTACAAGGCCACAATTCGTGTAGGTTAATCCCGACCGATTCGTGTGAATGATATGCCCCGATGTTCGGACGACAATAGCCTATATCTGCGGAGAATCACTCCTGTTCGGTAGATACATCATTCTTTGCGATGACGAAGCTAGACATTGTCTAGGGAAATGCGAGTCTGCTGTTTAATCACCCTGCCCCACTAAATCAATAAGAATGGATCTCACATTCCGCGCATGTTGTGCGAACGTTTGTCGCACTAGACTTGGTGGATGCGCACGGCTACAATGGAAGAGACCAGGCTGTGCTCAACCCACTTAACAACACCGCAAATTCAACCAGGAGTGCGTTCTCGGGAGTGCAAAATGCTCTCCGGTGCAGAACCATCAATCGCTGCCTAACATCCAACATCGCCAGACATTTAAGCGTAAATAATTGTGATCATTAAGTGAATTTACACGGCCACACTGGTGGCCGCGCTATAGTAGCGCTGATAAGCAGTCAATGCGGTCCGCCGTGGCTGTGGTAAGATTGCGTCATGGGTTGGGATCCGGCATAAGTACGCTACTGACGGGTCCCAGTAAGACGAAACGATCATCCAACGCTTTCCTGGATGTGTGATCGCTGCCCGGCTGAGTCTGGCTGGGGTGAACCTCCTCAAAACCCCATTCTCTGAACCGCGTCAACCTCATCAACCAGATAGAAGTGCAAGTCGATACACTGGCATACAGAAGCCTACCGTATGTCAGTTATCAGTTTTTCTTGATTTTAACAAAGCTGTTGTAGTATTAGCCAGTTCTAGTATGCCATGATGATATTATGATTGTCTTTTATCGGTCCACTTTTTCGGTCTACCCTCACATCATGATTATCTTGTTACATTGCTGAAAGCGTGTTTTACCGCTGAGTATTCATACGTACTTGTTGCATATAAAGCGCTTTCTTAGCTGACTACTATTAGTTTAGCTGGTCAACAACCAAGGTGCCTCGATGGATCCAGTGCATTGAATCACATCATCAATATTTATCATGATTAGAAGAGTGAAAATCAGAATGAAATGAAATGACAGAAGTAAAAATAACCGACAAACAGAGCGCTACAATCGTCAGGTGAAAAGGTCACAATCTGGATTGAATAAGACTGTCATTAACCTTGTGATGGTATCGTACCCCATAGGATTCCTAACCACTGATGCGGCTGATCACGAGGCTCATGAATACGGCAAATGCTATTTCGACTTAACTTCTCCGCCAACATTTCCATGCTCGTTCCAATCTCGAAGGGTACGAATAGGCGAACAGTGAATACGCGAATAACACGATCTAGTCATCATATGCGGTGCAAGTTAGAGAAGCTGTCCAGTGCGAGTTTGGGGTTACGTTGCTGAACACCGACTGTGAGATATCCGATCGCTTGACGATACCACCAGATATCAGTAATGTTTCCTCGGCACTGGTAGTGAAGAACAATTAGTCCACAAAATGAAATGGCACTTTCCGTAAGCATATTTTAGAAAAAATGGGACAAACTATTCACCATCTCTTTTTCCACTGTTTTTTTGAAAACAATATGTTTACTTCCGGATAGGTTGTACTGTCATGACAACTGCAAAACATGTGTTTGTCATTATATGGTAATACTACGGCGAACTTTCTTGAATGTTTCCGCACACGCTTACATTATTCCGGCTTCAATCCTAGTACCGCCACATCTAGCGTCTTCATTTCTTTCACTCAGATTTCTTGTGAGACTAAGTAGCACGCAATACCATGCGCTTAACTCACCGTAAAACTATTTGCTAAACGAAAGTTAGCGAGTAAGCAAATAAACTTGCCGTTTGTACGAATTGTTTCATCGGTTGTTCATGAGGCTTGCTGTCCCTACGGCAAAATGTAACAGCGAACGATTTCTAGGTTCGTCCTGGAGCAGGGTAGAGACTGAAGCGTCATCGGAATACAAAGCTGCAGAGGGACTACTATTGAACGGCGGACGATATTTGATTAATCAGCTGGTTAGCCCCAGGGAACCCAACTGTTTGATGCAATCAGTAGACTTACCATGGAAGCAGTTTCCTATCCCGTATTTTCTAATTAAAGTAGGATTGTGTGATGTCACATTAATCTATCATCCAGGCCGTCAAATTCCCTAAAGCAACGCAACCATTACCCGATGGCATGTTGAATCACTCCGATTTCCTGTTCCGGGATCCAGTAGAAGTGTCGTCGTTGCGTCACAACCGGTATTGGGATGAAAGTGTCGTTTGCCACGTTCGGTTGATGTGATTAGGCTGTGCTTAAATAAGCATTGAGGCGGTCTTGATGCACATTTCCACGTTCTACGCCAAATCTGGACGTGTGCGATGCGGACACTAACTAGACTTCTGCATATCTGATCCATCAACTTGATTACTGGTCCCAGAAGGCTTTTGGGAAACAAATTACAATCATCATGCAGCCAGCTGTCGGCCAATATCAGCCTGTGCATGCTAGGTGGGTACGTTCTCCACGGTTATCAATGCAGCGGTAGCTAGTAGAGTGAAACGAGCGGACGGCGAAAGCTAGGCGCGGACAATGAAGCAGGTATCACTAGTGGGTCTGTCGATCGTAGATCGCGATCACCAAGGGTTGGACTTCTAGCTAACCATTGGCCCGGGTTGAATAAATCGCGAACATATATATATATATATATATATATATATATATATATATATATATAAAGGAATTTAGTTCGAGAAATGGTATGAAAAAAGAACCGGCCGTAAACTACATGGACTGTGAAACTCTGCAACATCATATGCACTACAGATAGCAGATCGCTTTATGGCTGGTACATTTTGATCGAGACTCAGCCTGCGTTCTGTGTATAGAGGATTACTCAATAGCCAAACGCTTAGGAAATGTGTCAGTGCTATCAAAGTACACATTGCGTAAATTCTTTATTGGATAATTTCACAATCTTGAGAAGTTGTCAGACAGATTCACCTATCAATGATACGTGTAGAAGCGTACGTATATGCAGTCCGCACTAGCATTAGCACCAGTCTCAGTCTGATGGATCTAAATCAGATGAGATGTGCGTGATTGGGGCGAAATTCAGTCAGCCCAGGGTTCAGCGTTCGCGGATATCGACTCAAACCGAAGTGATCATCATCATCATTATACACGCTAGCTGAAGTGGAAAACACCTCAGCTATGGTGCCGCAATAAAAAAGAAAAAAAGTGAAACAGAGACACGCCGGCTGAGTCACCAGTAACGGATGGACATCGTTTCGGAGAGTTAACAGCCGGCTATTATGCCGCAAGTCATATTATGCCTATTAGTTGAGATCCTGGTTGGATGGGGAGGCTAAGCGGGAGGGCGTGGACAAAGGAACTCACAACACAAACGTCATTGAGGTCTAGCCCTACCCATGTCAACAAGTGTATCCAGCCAAACCTGTTCATTGTCCTTCCGTGCCCAACCAGGAAGCCGAGAGGCTCCAACCGAGGCCAACTTCGAAGTAAGGGCCTTCATTCCTCTCGACCAAGTCATCGCTTGGCCACCCCTCCTCTTCTTCCATCCACACCACCGGCACGCAAACAACGCACGTCGCGGAAGTCGGTGGGCTGGCATGCGCAACACGTGACTCAACCATCGGAGCCTAGTGCATGTACTAACGGTGCTGAGCGGTTCGCTTCTTCTTACTGCGTCATAAACAAGGCGTCGAATACGCTCATTGCTCACAAGATGTTCCCACCAGATATGAGCCAAACTGCGAAGGCACCGGTGGTCGAACTTAACCAGCCTCTTTAAGTCCGTTGATCGAAGGGACCAGGTTTCACAACCGTACAGTAGGATCGAACGTACGGCTGCACCGTACACTGTACCATTCGTGGAGGCTGTGATGTCGCGCCGGCGCCATAGATGGCAAAGGTTAGCAAAAGCGCCTCGTGCTTTTGCTATACGGTTTGTGACGTCGTCTTCAATTCTAACGGCGCTGACGCAACTACCTAGGTAGCTGAAATTTTGAACGACTTCTAGCTGATCCCCACCAAGGGTCAGCGTTGATGGCGGTCACTGCCAAATTTGGAGGAAGGCTTTGGAATTCGAAGGTGCAAAGCATAGCCCAAAACGACTGACAGCCAGTGCTAATCTGTCCAGTGCAGCTTGACACGTTTGTGAGCTGTCACAGATGAGGGCTATATTGTCAGTATCCTCTAAATCAAGAAGCTGTTCTTCTAGGGGAAGCTCTACACCTTCTAAGTCGTGCTCTGTGAATGCGTTTCCCATGACTTCGTCAATAACGAAGTTAAAGAGGAAAGGTGACAGCTGGCATCCTTGTCTCACACCGCTGGAGGTATCGAAGGGCGGTGATAGCTTGCCGTAAGCCCTTGCTCTGCCCGAGTTACGAGCGTAAAGCGCCCGCATGATATTTACATACTTTTCGGTCACACCTTTTCTTAGCAAATAGTTCCAAAGGGCACATCAATCCACCGAATCGAAGGCACCTTTGATGTCGAAAAACAGGACAACGGTGGGCCGCCAATATACGTGACGGTGCTCCAACAATTGACGTAACGTGAATATATGGTCGATACATCCCCGACCACGAAGAAACTCGGCCTGCTCCTCACGAATCTGGCTTTCACGGTCGCCAGTCAGTCTGTGAAGGATTACAGAGGAAAGCAATCTGGAGGCAATGGGGATCAGACTGATTCCTCTATGGTTGCCGCTTTCCGAACGCGAACCTCCTTTGAAGACCGGGACAATAACAGAGCGGCTTCAGTCGGTTGGGACAGTGTCCTGCTCTCACATCTTCACTAGTAATTCGTGCAAATCATCAACATGAGCAGGGTCCCCGAATTTAAAGGGCTGGATGAAAATCATCTGGTCCCGCAGCTTTATCCAACTTCAAAAGTCCGATCGCACATTCGACTTCTGAGCGAGAGAGCGGATCTAAAGGGACAGCCCACTGACCAGGGCGATCATTGGCCAGGGAGAAATTTAACAATTCTGGTCGATTAGGTTGCTTTTCAAAATGCTGAGCCCAACGCTCCAAACGTTTTGATAAGTTGTGGATAGGCTGTCCACTCTCGTCACGTATAGTTTCACCAATACCAAGTCTTCTGCTGCCCGTTTCTCGCATCAGATGGAACATCTTACGATAGGGCAGCGGCCACTTCCTTCTCTGACGCACGATGAGACCACCACGCTCCAAAGTCACTCTTCAGACTAGCAAGGAATTTTGCTTTGATGTCTTTGCGAGTCTCGTTGTGTTCGCTTCCACCCGGAATGTGCCATCGTGCCTCGATAAGTTCCAGAGACCGCGAAGAAACCCAATGTCTATTTTGGTTAGTGGATTTACACTTGATGATTTACCTGCTTCTAGTAAGATTTGGTGAAAATGCGACCAGTGGTCTTCAACTGTATTCAGTGAGCGCTTGCTCAGCCCGAGCGCCACCGCACTTCGATACGCATTCAGAACACTTGGCTTTGCCAGTTGGCTGATATCTATGCACTAACAGGGTCGTCGAGGGCGACCGCCAAAACGCACCCGCAGACTAGCACATACAAGTGCAAGGTTAGTGTCCACATGTGCTCCAAATCAAGCGACAGTTTTGGACGCAGCCATCCCAGCGATAACTGATCGCGATGTGATTGATTTGCGTCCATGGCTGGTGGGCGCCATGTCAACGTCCGACGGGTGTGTTGTGTCGGAAGTTGGTACTCGCAAAAAATAGCCGAGCATCTTCACAAATGAAGTAACCGCTCACCGGTATCATTATAGGAGCCTACACCGTGTTGGCCGCCAAGATGCAGCCCATCAGAGGACAATTTTCCAACATGAATGTTCAGATCCCTAGCAAGCACTACAGTGTCTGTGCTTTTTCTGTGGCGAAGGAGCTCGTTCAGTTGACGATAGAAGTCGTCTTTTACCGAGTCATCGCTACAGTTTGTGGGGCGTAGGCGGCGATGACAAATAGAGACCTATTAGTCCCGCGCAACTTCGAAGCTTTGAACGAACCAACCAGTCGGACCGCACACATACAGCTACTGACTGGGATCCAATCAACCCGAGAAGCTTCAGTCCGGAGACTCAGGACAATACAAACGCCGGCTTGGCAGGTATTCGAAGCTGCATCGTCTCCGGATAGGCGTAACGAGAGAGCACTGCTGGTATCACCTGAAAAGGTGAGCAAAACGAGCACAGAGCACGAGTCTTGCAGGCAGGTTTCTAAATAGCGACAGATATCGATCGAGAGTGTCTCTAATGTTCGAGCAAGTGTTGCCTGCGTACGCTGAGGCATGCGAATCCGAGGGAGGATCGGAGGCTCCAAATAGAAGCCGATGAACTGGATTTGACCGAAAAAGAAAAGATGCAACCTCATAAAATCCCTCATTGTGAGTGCCAAAGACGTGACAGACGAAACGCGATAATCGAAAGTAGATGACTGATTTCAAATGCCCAATGCCATCAGAAACGTGAGCTACAGAAAACAACTACAAACCTGTGGAGGATATAGAGTCGTGGGAGTATCGTTTTCCGATGCAGACTCCCCAGCACCAACTCCATTTACATTGGACGGTCCAGTGGACGCATTGGCAGGATTGGATCGTGCACGTGATGCAAGCGCTGTAGGCTGACCGGAGTAGTCGATTGTGTAATGGACATACTGGGTGAGAGAGAAACGGAACGGAGAGGGTGAAAAACGTATTCGTCTACCAGGCCACGAGCGTAAGCAACATCCATGATTGAGACAATGTAGGGACTGAGAATCGTATCAATGCACAATTCTGGTTGTACAATCGGTTCAGCCGCTTGTTAAGATTGATATAACTTCAGAAAAAAAACATTTAGATCTGCCATATCAAAAAAATAAAGCGACGATTGGGTGCCGTGGTCTTTGATCTGATTATCACCGTTAACTCTTCTAATGGAAGTATCCATACAAAATCCTCGTTGATATCTCCATAACCGCAAACCCCACACAGCCGTGTGTTTGAATTTCGGTACACAGCGTGATTTGCCGTGAAGTAAGTCTCGGTCAGTTCGCAGGTTGAACTACCACATTGTGGAAGATAGACGGTTGGTGCTGATCGATCCCAACACTGCACCCCAAATATTGCGAGTATAACGGCTTAGAGCTAAATTTGGCTCACGAGTTACTTCGAAGTGAACTTAGGATTAACTTGATCAGTAGAACGTGGTTCCTGTCTTTACCTAACGACGTTGCACTAGATGGTATCTAGGCTAACATGCCAACCGGTAACTTCGTGGCTATCGGCTGGTGGATTCAAACCACATCGCTGTCACAACTAGCTCCAACTTGTGGATCAGTCGAAACAAAGACAACACGATCGACTGACGGAAAATTTCCCCTAAAGCTGTTGGAAAGAGGATTCACTTGTGTATCAGAAAATCATAGCTCTGTCTACCAAAAAGCATAAAAATTTGATTGTGGATTGATCTAACACTCACTTTGCAAGTGTCCACATGGAAACAGGTGTTGAGGAAGGAGCAATCACCGAGTGACTCTAAATGGGATTGGGAACGAGACACATTGAAAGTATTGCAGAGGACGGTGCATACAAACATGTCAGTGCTTAAGAGTCAATTGGCTCGAGAGTACAGCAAGCCGCTCATCGAGCGCTTTATTCAACTATGATTCACCTTCCCAAGTGGTTTGCTAATCCGCTACAAGGGCTCACATGCAATACGGTTAACGACGAATACAATACTAATATTAGGGTGGGTATTTGAGGTATCAAAACTGCCGAATCAGAAGTGGAGTGTAGGCTTATCTGAATGTAACATCACAAGCTGTCTAAGAGAGGACAAATTAATCCGATGGCACTAAATGCAGATTCCTATATGCCCCAACATCGCAAGTTGGATGTGATTCTCCGCTAAGTAAAGTCACCGCCCTCTGCTTCACATTGTTTGAGAATTACGCCCCAGCAATCTGATGCTGAAATCGTGGGGACGACTGGGCCTCTGTTTGGAAACCGACGAAACGAAGAGTAGGAAGTAACTATTCAGGCATCCGTTCCTAATGGGCGCATCATCGCTTTGCATGGGGTGTCCCCCGAGCCAACTCCCTACTTCAGCTTAGGCAGCCGGGTGGTAGTGTCACATACCCTACATTATGCTTATCTGCTGGCATTCCTGCTTTCCACACTCATACCACTTCGTCACACAGCAACTGTTCTTTTTTTAAAAAAACCCTGCTATCCTGTTCGTCGCAATCAGCCGACAATTCAGATATGTCGACCAGCTGTCCGGAAAAGCACCATACGGCCGTTTCGCCCTATTGGGGCTCATCAGTGGTGCGCATCCTTCGGTCCTCTGCGGAGGATCGAACCCATGACTGCTAGTGGCTCTTGCCAACTAGCCCGCAGCTTATGCAACTGCGCCATGGAGGACGGTATCTAACTATCGTGAATTGTTAGTTAAATGCGATATAGCCCGACGCATCCTCCACTGCCATGCAGATGACAGCGGTCGGCCTTCCGGCGTCAGGACTTCCCGGTTACGGCAGCTATGAATCGACATAGCATTTTGTGGAATCCGTACGGGCGAATTGGTATTACTTATGAATGGAAGGATTTTGGTGAGTATTTTGTTCGTCGCAATCAGCCGACAGTTTAGATTTGTCGACCAGCTGTCCGGAAAAGTACCAGACGGCCGTTTCGCCCTATTGGGGCTCATCAGTGGTGCGCATCCGGACAGCTGGTCGACATATCTGAATTGTCGGCTGATTGCGACGAACAAAATACTCACCAAAATCCTTCCATTCATAAGTAACCCTGCTATCCGTTATCTGATTCCTGATTTCACGTATTTAATTCCGCTTCGGCATCGCCACAACTATGGCTTGCAGGTATGGCTCATAAGTGAAATCAGTGGAAGAACCGTACGCAGAATTGTCCTGATTCACATGCTTAATGCATCAACTATCGAGAGTGACGAAAAAGCAGCGTGTGCAAAAACAAGCAAAAAGCACTTCTTGTAGTGAGTATTCATTGCTGCGTCACTGTGTCAAACAACCACCTACCATCCGTGTGCGGACGAATCATTTTACGAAAGTGAAGTTTCGTGCATGGTTCGTGGTTTCCGGTTCTTTCCTTGTACTTGGAGCACTCGATGCGGGTTCCTTGTGCGCAAAATTGTTGTACTTGGCTACCTGCGGGTGGGGAGTAGACAGCGTGAACGTATTACAAAAGGTGAGAACAAATGCTTCGCACATGAGACGCGCATGAAGACCCAAGCTGCAGAAAACTCCGAAAAACATGGCATAAAAGCAATTAGGATAGATGGTGGTATTGACATAAGTATCGAAACGCGCCGCAAACCCTCAGCTGATGTCGTTCACGTGACGCATCATCATCGTTATCTAGCTGAAACTTAACGGAAGTGACTGCATGCGTGATGTGTATGCCCCATTTACTGCCGGTCCTGGTAGTGTGTAATGCAGATGTTAGCAGGCTGTGTACATACCTACGGTGATGGTAGCCTGAGTACTGGGTCCAGTGAAGCGCGAATCGCTAAACTGGGAGAGCAGGGTTTTGAAAATGCCAGGCTCATAAGTTGGTTTAAGCAACGAAAGGCCTACGGTCCAGCCATCGCATCATGTGTATTTGGTGTGTGCGGATTGCATGACAAAGGGTTTTTTGTAGAATCTAACGATGCAGGCACTGAGTGCTGCATGAATAAATACGGTTGAGTCAGAGTATGTGACCGACAGTAACTGTTCGGCAATTGTGAAACCCTATGGAATGACTCCATGCATCGGTATGCTTTTCTGATCCCCGAAGTGACAAGTTTTGCTGCGGAAACACCAACTGCTGGACAATATCTTGAAGATGATAAACTAGGGATACCTGATTAGTTTGCGTATCTTGACAGCTGCTTTAACAGGGATGACTATGTGCCTAAAACTGGGCAAATAAGGTTCGGCCCTCACGCAGTGGCAACTTCGCTTTTTGTATGATCTTACTTCCGCAAGTGTTGACTAGTATCCAACATCCGTTAAGTTTAAACAAAGGCGGATCTAATTGTCCTGCTGCTGCAAAACGCTGCCTGCGTCCAGAGGTGTCTCGATTTTCCGTTCGGGAGATTCCGAACGTGTGTGAAGCGTTGTGGGCAGTGCCTCCTCGCTGCAGTATTCACACAATACACACACATTAACCAACATGGAGTTCAGTTTCGCCAGGTCTATTCGGAATTTGTCCGGACTATTGCCCCCGTATTCTGCCGAGACACCAGTGTTGCCTTTACAATTTGCTATAAATATCAGGCTGCTGTCACGTCACTGGTAATCATCAGCCTGAGGAGTGTACTGTTACGAAATTACACTTAGTCATTACACATTCTGAAAAGCGATGGACGGTCGTTTCGTTTTGAGTTCCAACAACAACGCATACCACCCCTAGTCCTCAAGGAATTCGAATTTATGATTTACATCCAAGGTCGCAGATGATGGCCAAGTGTCACCGTAAGTTATTAATTACAACATAGAGCGCCTCATCCCCATTATCATACACATTACTGCCCAGCAGAAGACATAGTCGGCCCCAAAGTAAAATTTCCTTTGCTAAGCAACCGTGAGGGGATTATGACGCAACATTTAATCCACACTAGGGGTATTGGTTAGCTTGCAGTAATCACATCAGACTCGGTAAAGAAGTAGCACTTTGTAAGGACACTTCGCAGCCATACGACGACTACTAGAGATCGCAAGAGAGCTGAGGATACTGTGAGGTCATCTGCAGGCCCGATTCGATTGTCTGTGGAATGCAAGTCAGGCGCACCTGAATACTTCAGTCACCTGCTGGTCAACCTTGGCAAAGTATTCCTCAGAAAAATACCCAAACCTGTGGTAGCATCCAACAGATACGCAGTAGTCAATTGGCACGTGACAAGAGGCATGGACGAAAGTACCAAGATGGGGATATTTACACGACTTATCGGATCCGTAGTGGATGAGCGGGTGAAAAACGTGCATGGACGCGATCTAGTGCATGCCGTATAGTGTATACGTAGTGGACACTTAGGACGCAACTTTCATCGCTTAGTGGATGATCAAAGCACCGACTATATGAGTGGCAGCAGTCGGGGCTGATTCAGAGAAGTACCACTGGAGATTAGCGTAATGGTATAATGTTATTACAACTACTCATTTCCGTGAATGGATGCGCGCGCCAGCTTCGAACGAAGCTTGGTGAACGGGTGATATCTCGGTATGCATGTGAAGGAAGTACGTAAGATAGTGAGAAATGTTCCAACATGCTGCCGGTGACAATGCAAAAGTCTAAGTCGAGGCCAAGATGAAAATAAGCCACTAAGTAATACACGCTAGAGGTGTTGGTGCAAATTTATAAAATGTATTAAAGGGAAACATACCTCCCTGGGATCGAAACCGTTCACTGAGGTATCGTTCCTACATGGGAGTAAAGGAGTGGATAATGATTGAAATGTGTGATGTGAAGACAGAAGCCAGCAGCTCCACACCCATAGAATACGACAAGAGCGGGAGACTGATCAAAAACAAGCGAAAAATCACCCCGGTGTGTCAGAATGTTTACATCTAAGAACGCAGCTCAAATGAAACAGCTACCACTGCCTAGTTTCTGAAGCAGTAATGACGCTGGTGAAATTTATTGTTAGTGTTAATGTCACGTTATTATTATTCCCCGATGTACTAATGCTAAAGGAATACGTTTCGGCGGAGGAAGCCGCAGTCTTACCAAGGGGTCTCATAGGTACGTATAAGGAGTCTAAGTAATAGATTGGAAAGTGAATTTGAAGTACACGTTGTGTGGATGGATTGCGACGCGCAATCTCAAAGTAGACCGCGATTCCCATTGAAGTGAACCTTGGCCATTCGATCACTAGGACCGTAACTGATGAAGCAGCAGCAAATTGGGTGTTGCCCGCCTGAAACCACTGCACTCCATGACGCGTTTCGAGGTTATTTCCTCTCATCAGATAGAGATAGCAGGCATCGAACCCGGGATCATTGAGATGTTAGTAGGTAGAAATGAAGACAGAAATCATTGATGATACGCCTAGAGTGACCGATGTGTGAGTGCGCGATCACAACTGGAACAACGATTTTTCTTGAAGTAAACCTCGGACATCTCGAGTACTGAGGCTACGTCTGAGATAGGCAAAAGTTAAGCGTTGTTTGTGGCCAACACTACAATCCACGGCCAATTTCGTCCGCGATTACAGTGTTCCCATAGAACCGGACAATATGACACGTGCCATGTAACCGAGCACCTCAAGATGCTTCAATGCGCATTTTCGACCGCGATCGACGTAAGGCAATGTTATCTTATTTGACAGCCTTGTTCAGTTTCACAGTGAGGTATTGAGGTTCTATACGAGGGAACATTTATTTGTTATGCGAACTACATGGCTTTGCTGTTTGAAAATCATGAGAAAACGCTCAAACCTAGATGAAAATTTGCCAGAGTGGTCCTATCCCTTGGAATGCGGTTTTTGCTTTCAGCTCGCGAATTGCAGTTAGAGGACTACCAACGTTTTGCTTGGTTTGGCAACTAGGATCAGTACAGCTGATCAACTTGTCTATACCTGTGGCTGCATTAAAGAAGACCAGAGTGTGACAGATGAAGTTATTCCGCCTAGTGAAAAACTGGAATAGTATTTATGGAAAAGCAATGCTGTTGTAGCCAGAAGGAGCTTTCACTTGAGCATACAAGTCGTGTATAGAGAATCACAAAGAGGGATAACTCACTCCACGGCTGTGAAAGGCAACACGTACAGTCTGAGAAACTCAGCCGCCTTGAAATATTCCACCACAATTATGTACAAAGCATTCACCACATCGGGTATTATCAATATCCGTAATCATGGGGTCTGTAGGAGACTGCTGGACGACTAGGTCTGTAGGCCACCGGTAAAGAAACGGATCACGTATATCCACTCATGGCTTAAATGGTTATTCGAAGTTGTATAAGTTCAGATTCGAAAGACACAATGGAACTGAAGCCTTTGAAGCATATAGTTTGGGTGCTGTCAATTCATCTTACCCCTGGGCTGGAGTTAACGCGACCCAGTCCGTGTGTAGATCAGCGGCCTCTACATTATATGCTTCACAGCCAGCACCAGTGGAGTGACTGCCGTCGTCTCATAGCCAAACTACCAGTTAAAGCAAGCATTGTACTGGACTACTTTTGGAGTCGGGTAATTGTAACGACTCACCTAGTCGGAATGAGTGATACGGTTCCCGTAAATCCTATCCTCAAAACGGACAGTACGACCTCGTCAGATTTGTTCACACGCAAACGGCTCGAACGCTCATCGCCAAAGCATCCAAGCCCAAGGGAGAGAGAAGACAGGCCTTTTGATAGAATGTTTATACGACCCGGCAAAATGCCAAAAGTATTGCACAACCTCGAATATATACCGAAACAGGTGAGGTATGTGAACGTCCAAACAGAACAGTCTGCGTGGGCCAAGCAAGATCAAGTGAGGCACGTAATACGAGCGCGACAACTGTAAGTAGCGCAGGCGTGTCGGAATAGGCGAATTCACATTAATGCCGAGATAGGCGAATTCACATGATACGAAGGCAAGTCGAACGTGTGCACTCACATGGATAAGTGCCAGTGGTTTTCGGATCTCAGTTTGCGCCATCTTATGGGGACCTGCGTTCCCCATCACAGAAGTTGAACACAATGCATGGCAGCGACAGCTATGAGGAAACTGTCTCGCCGATGGCGTCTTGAATTCACACAATAGCCGGATGTTTGTGAAAGTAAGAGGCCGGTAAGATGTAGGTGACTTGACTATGAGATGTTACTTAGAGAAGCTAGAACCTTTCCAATAGATTTCTTACTCCGAATCGGCAGTCGTAGCTCGTGATTCATAGTTGCATCGTAGCAACACATTAGTACAAAGTGAATACTGGTGACAGACTTTGTGATTCCCAAGAGCAGCTAGCGTCTGGTCAAGATAACAGAGAAACAAACTAAAAATAGAAAAAACTCTGCGTACTTTTGTAGAAGGGGTGTTCAGCAATTCCAGAATCTCCTCACGAGCCCGGTTGCTTTCCTTTTCCCGTGCTGTCTGGGCTGCCAACAAATCTACCAGCTCATCCATAACCTTGGGGGATGCTTTCGCGTCTTCATGTACTGTGGAACCAGCCGTAAGATTAGTTGTTGAGGAGGATTTTGCAAGCATGGATCTCTTTGGTCCACCAGGCTCATCGAATTCTGACCGCTGTGGAGTCAGCTTACGTTTTTCACCGAAATCTCTGCCATGCCTCGAACTCCGAGCGGCTTGCGAAACCTGGGTTTCTGAGGCAACCTTCTTCAAATCTGTTTTGGGCGGCGCAGATTCTCTGAAAGAAAGGAGCGGTAGGATCAGATCGCAAGCGCTATCTATAAAAGTAACACAGGACAGGCTAGGCACAAACTCCCAAAGAATCAGCTAGTTAAACGCAGAGCGAAACTGAACTCCGATTCCCCATGTGAGTTTACATTGGTGGGTGAGTTAGAATGGGAAGCGAACTGAAGCAGCTCAAAGCACACCCAGAGTGTTCGTTAAGAAAACAATGAGGTGCTCCAATACAGGACAGTTCTTCCGTCTGCATATTGTTGAATGCTCAATCGCGTGAGCAATGGTGATCAAGCCTTGGGATATTCCATACGAGATGTGACGGGGAGAAAATGTACAAACGTAGCAACCTACGTTCAATGATGCCGCTGTGACATAAACAATACAAAACAGCAGCAGGGCTGATGGTTCGTTGTTACACAGCGGTGATGACTAGTGATGAGCACGGACAAAGGAAGAAGAGGAATCTAGTGTAAAACCTAGATGCTCTGGGTAAACATTCGGGAGGTACGAGCACAGCCTGTTAAGATAACGACACATCCGCTAGCAGCCCTGCACCGCAAAATAATCGAAATGCAGCCTAAAATAATTCAGTGCCAAACACTAATTAAACAAGAGGTTCGTCAAGGCCATATCTATAAGCGAGCCACTGGTGTCGATCGCGAGAATGCCCTAGAAGATATCGAATGAGACAGCGTGAACCACATCGAGTCAAACTTGGAAGATAAAAAACACCAACGATATCCAACCTAGTGGTCAGTAAATTCAATTCGCGCCACAAGGTCAATGGCTGCCCTACTTGAGGTTTGCACCATTCTAGAATAGGTAACCAAAGTAAGACCTCTTTCAATGAGTAGTGGGAGCCCAAAGCTAACGCCAATTTCCCAGTCTCTTCCCAGGATCCGACGAATAGACATGATCATCGATGACTAGTGTTCAGCTAAACCCATCGTGGCCGCGGACAAAGTGTCACCCGAAAAAAGCAAAGCTCGTGCGTACCGGTGGTTAATTATCTAAAGCCACGTGAAATATTCGGGCTGAGGATGTCAATTTCCACTCAAGCAAACACTGTGATTCTCCATATACTGAGAGTACTGCTTCAAAGAAGGATAGTCCGTACTTTCGCCTTTAGGGGGGTGGCATTTGCATACCCGATACAGTTGCAGAGTAAATGCATAAAATAAGCGATGCGCCAAGAGGAACTGGGTTCATCATCAAAGCGCTTTTCTGGGTGTATGGTGGCTGTCTGGCTGATTCTAGCTGCGCCAAATCTACAAAACACAACAAATCCCCTACTACTGACTAATAATCAGTAATCGCCTTGGCAGCTTACATGCCACCTCGATTGTTGGCGGCGTGCAAAGGAAGTCGTAGCTTGGAAGGGGCAGTCCTGTCCTCTGCACATTCACAACATGCATGACAGTGGAGGATGGGCCGCACTATATCGCAGTTAGATATCAGTTGTGACGGTCCGCCGCCATCACTCATGGCTCAGTGACATACGTCGCTGACTCGCAACAGTAAGGCCATGGGTTCGAAGCCTGTAAGATTCGACTGGTGCGCGCTACTGGTGTCCCGACGAAACGGCCGTCTAGCGCTTTGCTGGATATGCGGTGGTTGTCTGGCAGATTCTAGCCGCGATGAATCTTCTCCAAAACGTTTTGTCCATTTAAAGGTGACTATGTCGCTGATACCCTCCTAAACGCCCGTGAGACGCTGTTGAGAAGACTTACTTAGAGATTTGCCTGCGAAGAACAAACATACTACAATAAATCCTTAAGAAAATACCTTTGAAGGATAGGCAGCCCGGTCGATGCGTGATTATCGGTACTCGTGCCCCTGTAGTGCATGAAACGTGGGTCTTACTACTACGGCCCACTTGTCTCACACGATCCGCGAGTACATCATGATGTGATTTTACAGAGGCGAAGCGAGGTCTTCTAATAGCTCCATCGTGTCGCACCTCCTCGAGTAAGGCTACGTAAGGTCATCAGCAGTACGCCGGCACATTGTACCGACGTTGCGCTGCCACGTGACCACCACCGGTCGCGCATGGCTGAGTATACCGCCCCTACGTGGATTCGAATCAGTGACCTAGGAATTGCAAGCCGGACTGCCAAGTAAAACGATTTCAGTGTCACCTACTCCATCCCAGAATGTTTAACGCGCAGATTCCGAAGAAATCCATTCATTACTGAAGCTAACGACATCCACAACCTTGAGGCTGTGCGTACAAAATCAATTCGTCAAGTGAGGTCAGGTCAGCTGCAGGGACGATAAAGTTATTTGCCCGATGAGCGTCCTGTTTCTTCCATCGACAACCAAACAAGAGTCCCGGTACCTCGAAACCAAGTTGGTTTCCCTCGATTCTTTAAAACAGATGAAATAAGAACGAAAATAATCTCTGCCTTCAGTAAGCATGAGGTCTCTGTGAGAAATTTAAATCATTTGACAGTAATTCTGGAAACGGATTCGACCAACACTTATGTTAACCTTTTTAGTGGTCTTCCATAGTAGTACATTCCATCAAAGCAATAAGGAACCTTTTCAAAGGCTCCTACAGTATTTCATTTCACTAAGACGGGGGTAGGATTGTTCCGACCTCGAAAAACACGATTCAAGAAAAATTTCGCCATACTATCCAGCGTGGACCTCTGGTGTTTAAGCATAATATGGAAGGAACGCCGGTTACTTCTACCGTGGCCAACAAATACCACTATGTACTCATCTGACTGCTGCCTCAGTTACCGTTCGATCTATTGTGAATATGATGTATCTAGTTATCCTTCTATTTGATCTGCTACCTACTGTCTCAGCGAAATCTATTACTTCGACCAATGAATTAAACATGATAATTAATATTCAGCCCAATTCGAAACATGCATTAGTTAATCCCGCTTTTGTAAACATTTGGGTCGGATGAGTTTTGCCGAAATGAATTCCTTACTTGATATGCGACCCTTACTCTGATTTGTGTGCCCTAGTTCACATGTTCTCCACATATTCTATTAGGGATGAAATTTTGAAGCCGTACCTGGAGAAAATCTAACAGTACACAGATGACACAATTTGCATGATAGCAGACCTAATCCGTATGCGGTTTGAGGTGAATATGTCAACTCGGGAGCACCTACCATTCAGATACAAGCTTCGCACGTCAGATAGTGTGGGACGATGACGAAGTTCCGGGCTTATTCGCATTCCACTGATTCCAAAGATCAAAGCATCAGTGTCTGCCTCATCCGTCAGAAACAATAGCGCAGTTGCTTAGGTTCTCGAGCAGTACATTAGGATGGGATATCAGAGTAGCAAGCTGAGGCGCAGGTTGCAACTCTGCGAGGGATGGTGCTTGCTTGCAGGCCAGACGCACAGATAATAAGATCTGAGCGAATTATGCGATTGCTTGACTTTTATAGCTAGCGCCATGAATCACTACAAAAATACAGTGGGACCAGCGTGGAAGTGGCGCGGGAACCTGCCAGCTGGGAAGCTGGTGACAAAAGAACAGAGGCTTCCAATTGACCTGTCGGCAACTTTGGACCAAGTATAAAGGGTTGTAACGCATTTCTGTACGTCTGATGACTAACGCACTCGGACAGAAGCAATGGGTCACGCTGCTGAGTGCCGCCTCCATAGATGAAAGCCACGAAGCAGATTATGATTAATCAGATACATAGGCCAAGGACCGGTTGGCAAAGTCCCTATATCTTGCCCAGGGACTACAATTGGTGGCTTGGAAACGTGACGATTCGGTAGCATTTCCAACACATTCGGAATGAATCTTGATCTAATTGCTGGTTGTCTGTGTCTCAGTGAGATGCTTTTCGTTATCATTCCATTAACTCCAGACTATGAACAGGGTACCTAGAGCAAAACCCTACTCCCGGAACGTGCAGTCGAAGAGCAACATCTTTTTCACACTTATTGTCTTTGTTCCAATTAAAGCTAACGAGTAAGAAAGTGTTGGGGACATCGCGATTGATGCTAAAGATGAATTCTAACTTGTCCTTCAGACCAACGACCAGATGTATTCGTTCCTTCAACGTACGCATTCTAGTTAACAGATATTGCTAAATCTTATTCCTTACCCTCTTGGAGATGACGTGACCGTTTAAGAAAAGTGCATGCAGGATAGTAACACCATCGACTGCCTGATTCGGCATGTGTCGCCAGACTAAACTCCTGCTGACTCTTGCGATACGGAGTCGATAACTCCAGAAGTTTATGGAATCAGCATTACCTCCATCAGAAAAGCTGAAGGCAGTCTATTCGAATGTATCCCAGTGAACAGCTGTGTGGCTCGACTTCGGACCACCGTAAAGTTTTATACGCGCCATCCGAAAATATGGTGCCATCCTACTGCATCAGCGTATGCCCCAATCGACCGAAACCTCTAGGTCAGTAAAGACGATTTCTATTAAACCCACCTCTCTTATCTGCATGGTAAACGATATGGGTGTCGTAATCGTTCTTATAAACACAAATACCCAGGTGGACAGCTTTATCCAACGTCGAACCCCGTCTGAAAGACCGTTTCGAGGTCGATGTACGACAGACAGGAAACGTTGACACATTTATTCTATTATGTGTCGAAATAATAAGAATAATGTATCAGCCATACGCAGTAACGGCGCTTCGCTGCCGCGCGACCACCACCAGTCGCGCGCGGGCTGAGTATACCGCGAGGACACCCACCCCTACACGGATTCGAACCGGTAACCTTATGGTTGTAAACCAGACGCGCAGACCACGGCCGCTGGCCGAACTATGTGTCGAGCGAAGCCATCACATTAGCAGCACTGCTTCGCAACATCCGTCGAAGTCAAAGACAACTTGTATAAAACTAATCCATATTGCCATAAAGTACAGAGGGAGGACATCAGTTGAAAAGTGTCGGTGGTTGTGGAGTACATGCCTGGATTCCGATCGTGCTCTAGTGCGCGCAACCATGCCGTCCGCACCTACTACCGACTTCAGAAAAGCGCCCAAACTGGTTTATAACGA